TCCCCTCACCACACACACAACACAGAGATATACATACATAAAGAGGAAAAGGATGAAATGCGAGACCCTCTTGATTTCTCTATTGGAAATGGAACAAGTTTTGAAAAAAGGAATACAAAAAGATAGATAGAGAACCGAAAAAAAAGAAGAAGAAAGGAACGTGTAAAGACTTAGCCGAACGTTTCCCATACATACACACACGTCGACACGTGTCATTCTTTATATCCCTTTATCGTATGTGTGTGTGTGTGTGAAAAGTGGTGGCGAGTGTCGAGGAAACGAAACGAAACGAAAAGGTGCCAGTCTGATTTAGCAGAGCAGTAGAAGACATCGGCAACGCAACGTTGAAGAAAGTGGCGGAGGTGCGGGGGTAGGATAGAGGAGGACGAGTAGATTGTTTGATTCTTTTTCTAACGTTAGCACGAGCATTGCGGTGTGTTGGGCTTGTAAATGCGACTTTCTTCTGGTATCTGGGCAAGGGGAAGAGGAAGAGGGATGAAGAGAAGGGAGCTTCGGTCTGCATCGAAGCTCACAGCTTCAACTCCAGCCCCTTTTACCCCAACCCCCCATTGGTAGGTAGTGGTATCGTCTCGGCAGACACCTCCATGTATACATAGAACGTACATGGCCACCGGAAGGTACCGTAGGCGGGACAGACCTCCCACCTACACAATACCGGAAACACAGTTCTTGCATTAGCCAAAGAAAGATTTCTGTTGAATCGTGGTGCCAGAAGAGATAAAAGAGAAAGATAGAGGAATGCTGGGTTTTCCCATCTTTTGTTAGACCATTGTCTAGAGAAATGTTACTCGTTAGAATGAGACAAAGAAATATGGAGATAGAAAAAGGATAAATAGTTACACGCCGTTGTGTACAAGCGTTGGAACAAAGCTGGGGTAAGAGAAGAAGAAGAAGAAGATGAAGAAGAAAGAGGAAGTGTGTTGAAGTGGGAATAGCGTTAATTTTATTCGTAAGCAATGCGTGTATCACATGTTATGACGTTAATTCTGATTATGTGGGGAAAAGGTCGTGTAAAATGTATAGAATGACCAATCGTTGTCCGTTCTAACCTCATCGTCCTGCGATCCTCACGTTTGCTCGGTCAATCGTGAATTCAATGAAACATCAGGATCTCTCTCTCTCTCTCTCTCTCTCTATCTATCTATCTAGTTATCTGTCTTTCTCTTATTCGTGTTATCTACCTCTCTTGTTTTCAGAACAAATTTGCAAACTCCATGAGAGAATCCGTATTTGTATATGCGCATATATATGTTTTATATATATATATATATGTATATATATTTAGGTTTATTTGTTCGGTCAATCAATATATTCCTACTCCAGTTTACATTACATTTTATTCCTTTTTCTGGATTTCATTTGTCGACCAAATTCGTTGAGTGAATTTTGTCCTTTTCCCTTGTTCATTTATCTATATATTTCTCTGTCTTTTTAAAATTATTTCTTATAGGTTATGTAAAATAGTAATGTATCAGTTAAATACTTTCTTTATGGTATTCTACGGACAATTATTCATTTTATAGGATATTCAATGCGATCAAAATAAAAAGGTCAATAATTCTGATAGTTCTTGCAAATTACAATTTTAGATTACGTTATTGATTAAATGAAATACATCTTTTCTTTTCTTTTTTGGGAGGTGGGGGGAAGTGAAACTTTTTAGGCAACGGTAAATGTATAATTTTATTAAACTACATGAAAAAAGGTAGAGCATGGTTGTAGAGAGAGATAGAAATAGAACCAATAGTAGAACGATATATCCTAAATAATTATTAATTAATCGAAAAAAATGTATATTGTGACTTAAAAGCATGGATTTACTTTTCGATGTACGTTCCTCTTTGAAATCCGTCGTTAGACTAGATCCGTTGTTCTCTATGAAAGTTTTTTATTATTAAATATTGTTTATATAACTTTCCTAAAGTTGCGCATATTTATAATAAGAATAATATTCGTAATAATGTAAATTTAAGATTATACAATTCTGATTTTAGCATTCTTTAATTTTCATGTAATTGTTTAAACTAATGTAAATTTGTTTGAACGTTCCTGCGCAGGGATAACTTCGTGATGGTGGAGTAAAAATTACATTTAATAAAATACCAAATTAAAATTATATTAAATATTGAAAATATGTTAATAGGTATGTAATGTTTAAATCAATGCATATGTGTTTAAAAAAGCTGAAATATAAAGAGAGTGTATTAGAGTAATAAAATAATTGTTAATTAATCGATAGAAATATCTATTATTGTTTAAAATCTTGGAATATATGTTCAGAGCTCCGTCCTCTTCGAAATTCTCCTTCAGACTGAGTCATTGTCCTCTATGAAATTACTTTTATTGAAAGTTGTTTATATGACTTTCCGAACGTTGCGCATGTGAATAAAAGAAATAATTCACCTAATCAATAAAATTTAAAATTATAACGTTCTGATTTTAGTAATTTTATCATTTTTATGTAATTATTTTAATGCTCATACGCACTGATTACTTCGAGGGTAAAATTCTGTTGTAACATAAAGAGAGTGCATTAGTGCATTATAATAATTGTTAATTAATTGATGCAAGCGTTTATTATTGTCTAAAAGCTCGGAGTATATGTTTTGTGATCCTTCCTCCTAAAAATCCACCGTTGAACTGTGTCATTGTCCTCTGTTAAAGTTTTTTTATTGAAAGTTATTTATATGGCATTTTGAACGCTGCGCATGGGCATAAAGGTAATAATATTCGTAATAAATAGAATTTCCGTTTTTGGAAAGTCATATAAACAACATTTAATAAAAATACTTTTTTCATAGAGGATAACGTACCAGTCTGGAGGTGAATTTCGAAGAGGACGGTGCTCCGAACATATACTCAATGCTTTTAGACAACAACAGATACTTGCATCGATTAATTAACAATTATTATAATGCATTCTCTTTATGTTACAGCAGAATTTTACCTTCGAAGTCATCACTGCGTAGGAGCATTAAAATAATTATATAAAAATGATAAAAACGATAAAATCAGAACGTTATAATCTTAAATTTTATTCATTAGATGAAATATTCTATTTATACACATGCGCAACGTTCGGAAAGGCATATAAACAAAATTTAATAAATGTAATTTTCTAAAGGACAATGACTCATTTCAACGGTGGATTTCTAAGGGGACGGTACATAGATCATATATTCCGAACTTTTAAACAACAATAGATATTTCTATCGATTAATTAACAATTATTTTAATTGTCTTATACACTCTTCTTATATTTCAGTTTGTTTTAACACATATATGTATTGGTTGTAATATTACATTCCCCATTAACGTATTTTAAATAGAAAATAATGTTGATATATTTTTCTTTTAGGTTTTTAGATGACTTTTTTAAACTTGATTTTAAATCCTAAAAACCCCGAACTTTTAGATAACAACAGATACTTCTCTATCGATTAATTAACAATTATTTTTATTGTCTTATACACTCTTCTTATATTTCAGTTTGTTTTCACACATATATATATATATATTGGTTGAAATATTATATTACCAATTTTAACGTACTTTAAATATTAAATAATTTCGATGTGATATTCTTTTCGATAAAAATTTTCCCCATTGAAGTCATCACTGCATAGGAACGTTAAAACAAATGTAAATTAGTTTAAACAATTATATAAAAATTGAAAGAATACTAAAATCAGAATGTTATGATCTTAAATTTTATGTATTAAGTGCATTATTCCCTTTATACACATGCGCAACATTCGGAAGGGCTTATAAACAATATTTAATAAAAGTAATTTGATAGAGGACAATGTTTCATTTCAACGGTGGATTTCGAAGAGGAACGTACATCGAAAGGTAAATTCACGTTTTTAGATTACAATATACATTTTCATTGATTAATTAACAATCATTTAGGGTATATCTAATACAGTACTATACTTTACTAATATTTTAGATTATTTTAACATTCTTGATTGGTGATAACTTTGAGTTAAAATTTGTCATCTAATATAATATTCGATCAAAATTATTTATTCGAACTATATTAGAATAGTTTTGAAATAAATGATATTTCGTATTATTCCTACTTTAATAGCTTATCCTAAATATACTTATTTAAAAAAAAAAATCTAACAGAGTAGCAGTTTACTATTTTAAATGACACACCTACTGTATTATACATATCAACGAATTATTTATATTTTAATATAAATATTTAATATAAATA